GCCAACTTATGCCTAGAACACAAGAAGAGAGCCGTTAATTCTGTTTGATTCACTTGTATTAACATTTAGTATCCTTTACTCGAAACTTTATTGTTTTGGTTTCCCTAACCTTTCCCTGCATGTTTAAACCCATTAAATTTGTTAAGTTGTATAGACAAATGATGCAGATAACTATGTTGTTGTCTTTGTCTTTTTAATAAAAATACTTTTTATTTCTATTCAAAAATATGAATTCAACATAAATTTGCAAAACGTCTTTACAATCTACATTGAAATTGAATTCTTTATTTGAAAGATTTTCGATTCTTCCTGCAAAAAAAAAAAAAAACAACAACAACAACAACAGCATTTTTATGCAAAATGAAATACTATTGTCAAAAAATGACTTTACAAATGAGCAGCCTTGATGGTTTCTTTGCATGTGGAAAATTAAAAGGCGTATGCAGGGGAAGGTTTCAGAGGTTCCAGCACACTTCCTCAGCAGGTGAAGTCTTGTAAATAAAACATCAATAGTGCTGATAGTAGCATATTTTCAGATGATCCAAGATTTTGACTAGTGCGAATCCAAATCAGTGCTCTTGCATTTTTGCAGTCAATAGGCCTTTTGCATGAAATGGTCACATGGTACTAAATCCGACATACTGGATGGCAACCTCAAAAACAAAAGAATTGAATTTTCTTTGTTTTAAACATCCCAGTAGTTATTTTGGCACCCAGCATGGTGGATTTAGTGCCATTTGACCATTTCATGCAAAAATCCTATATTGCTCTCATCAAAGCCTCACACTTGTAAAACCGCAAAGCAAGGCTGAAAGTACAACTCCATCGAACCACGCCTCATAAAAACCCTGCAAACACCCCTGACCAGCTTTGTATCAAAAATCAAAATGAATCAACAAATAGCTTGTAATCATCTAGACGCCAGTAACAAATGTTAACAGACTGCACAGGCGTCACAACTTCGAATAGGAGTTTGGCATGATTATGCTTCGTATTGAAAAGCCTGGTTGTCCCTAGGAAAATAAATCCATGAAACAAATGTGAATAATGCGAATTCAATCGTCTAACCTGTTAGACCAACAGCGTGTCGAAGGACGTCACACGACARAAATTCACGAACGTGTTTACACTCTGTGTTGTTCTGCTGACCTGCAATTGCATGCATTAAATGCATGGTAATGGCGTTACTGTGCAAGTGCGTCACATCACAGCCTCATTTCACAATGGGTTTGAAATGTGATACATAGAAAGAGGTAAGCAAAAGAGGTGCACTTGTCAAGCATCGAAATACCCCTAGTAAGGAAACACACTTGATTCTTACCACTTTTCCAAATAACGTATAGAATTCTATTTTGAAAAATTGTTAAGCGTGTAATGCTTTCTAAGTATTCCAATGAGACCAAAATGTATTGATGTTATACCGGCGGTAAAAAAGTGCTTATTTGACCTTGCATGCTCCATATAGAGTGTAGATATTCCATGGAAAACTAATTATTATAGATTTTCATTTTATTTTTTTTAATAGCCCGTATTAATTTGCCTGCGTCACCGCTCGGACAAACTACTGTTGATATAAAGTCCGTCTGTGAAACAGCGCCAAGATCTTGTTCCGACCCCCAGCGGACTAGCAAGGATATATGAAGCGATTTCTGATTGGCTGTTACCAATTTTAATTCTAGCACGGTCGATGATTGGTCAATGACTAACCGTAATTAATCACATATATAAATGCATGTTCCTTGTTTAATAGCATATTATATACCTGGCAAGATAGGCATGCCGAGGAGCTTGCAGGAGCATCGTTTCATCATCTCCCGTGAGAGACACTCTTTCTTGCATTTAAGTCTGGAGTAAGTATTTGTTGTTTCCAATCTTCTTGTGCCGCACGCTGATTTATAAGGTGGCTTTAAGCTTAGGAGCTAAAGAGCATACAAAGACACTACGAATAAGAATCTAAAGGAGATAAATGATATGGGCAGCCGYTATGGCGAAAAATATCCCAGGCCACATGAAGCTGAAGTTCGAATCACGAATTCGTGATATTTTTTTTCTTTGTTTGAATCATGAATCATTAAATGTGTCCAGTTGATGCGAGTTTTTATTGAAAAAAAAAAGGCGATCTAAGACAGGGCCGTAACCAGAACTTCTAACGGGGAATTGCACGATCATTATTGGCCTTTTTTTATTAGTAGTTGTCAATTTTTCAGTAAATAACGGTACGTAGAAGTGGTTTTGAAATACAACAGCGTATTACAACTTGTAACACTTATTGATGTACTTTGATTAGCTATTTTTGAGATTATCTAATTATACGTTATCACTGAACCTTATACAAGATCATTCACTGATTCAGTTCGAATCCAGTTCGTTAAAGAAAAAAAAAATTCGGCGGATTCGTAAATAAGTTCGACAARATAAATTATATGGTCAAGTTTGGTACTAAATTGATTTAAAATCTAAAACAAAGATTCATGTTATCTAAAAAAAAAAACATGGAGATATGGAGATAGATGAGTTGACCTTCAGCTTCTCTGGGAGGTGCACGTGCAACCAGTGCATTCCCCTGGTTACGGAGCTGTAAGAAGTGTCAGATGGAGCATTGGGCAAAGAGACTTTGTGATAGTCTAACGTTATCATAAAAACAATTATCTCTGGAAAAAAGTCACTACCTCATTTCTGTTAATTGTGATTTCCGCTGTAGCACCCGCCATGAGCTCAAAACCATAATTCTCAATCATTGGGTCTTCATTTTGGTCATGCACTGCGACYTTCACACCYGGAGCCAAATAACTCGATACACCATAATACTCTTTTCCATGTGCATTCAGTCCCAGGATCAGACCATCGTCCTTGATAGTACTTGTTGAATATACCAAAGGGTGACCTTGGCTTCCTGAATTAAAAGTATGACAGAGGCCATACTTGGAAAAAKATGATTGAGATTTAGCTGTCCATGTGGGACTTTGAGAGACAATGTTTTATTGAAAATTTTCTCTGGTGCATAAGAAGCATGCGCACTAAGGCCTACTGATACGCACTATATAGATGAACTTTGTCACTGTAATACTGGAAATAGACCTAATCGCCTAACACGTTGCTATGTACGTTACCAGCTACTAATTCAAATCCTGTGGGAAAAAGAACTTTTTTAACTGCGAAATAAAAATACAACTAACAATGAAACTTACTCCCAGGTGGTTTGAATTGGGGTAAAAACGCGTTAGCCGACTAGGTCTATTGAGATCATTGGATTYGTTTTAACATTTTGCCAATGGATCACAGAAAATGCTGTGAATCAAATTCGAGCAAAAATTGCGAGGAAGAGCTTCATTAGGACAGACTATTCGCAGCCATTTCCGGTGCTGTCYCCTTAATCTTCCCAAAACGAAAAAGACTATGTGGAGTCTATAACTGGGTAAGTAGTCTAAGGAAGGGCAYCTGATCATTGCATTTGTGTGATATTGCTAATTCGGAGTGATTTCTGAATTTAACGAGCTCGATTGACAGCCCTAATAGCATCTTTAATGCTTTTTATGTCTAGTCTGATTTTCATTTTCGTTGTTTAGCCTAAAGAACGTAACCACCGGYATATTTTGTAATGGCAGTTGCTTGACTTACATTATCACGTGTTTGCATTGCTTACCAGATGTGAAAATCTAGTTGTGAAGTTTTTAGGAGTGCATTTCTTCCCTCTCCAGATACAAAATTCTATCAAATCCTTCGCRTCATGTCCATACAGCAGTACTGCCTTCCGAATATCAAAAGACTTGCTAAAYGTTTGCAATTTGTACTTGGGTTTGAAGGCTTTCTGCGGATCTTGTAGGTCCAGATACARTTGGGCTTCAGTTCCAAGAATTTTKGACTTCTTCATCATATTMATGTTACAGATTGTAATGGCTGGAAACTTGAGATGTTGTGATGGAAAAACCTCGATACTAGTAATGTGTTTATTGTCYTTGAGCWTTAAGTACCTCCCGATTATTTGATTCACGAATAGTCCAGTAAAAATGAGAACCAACGTCGTCCAGATGATTCGACGAAACGTTGACCTTGAATTTGCAGCGTAGCGAATCCCATGTAAGCTAGCAGATTCAGCAAAATTCTCCAATATTTTCTTGGAATTTAGTTGCTGTAAAGCAGTGTTTCGTAATTGATTGGCCATCACTCTTTTTCTGTTTTGAGATGCGAAGAAAAGATTGTACCTTTTTCTTCCATGGAGATGTTATTAATGTAGACAAGAGGTCTGGTGTTTGACTGTAAAAAAATTCTCGATTATATTTTCACCTGCATTATTCTGAGAAATAAAGCGAAATGAATTATTAAGAGGGTCATTATCTAGAAAATTGTATATTGAAACTTCAAGGCGATACTTTTTCTCGAATAATCATATCTATCCTCTGGCAATTACACAGTAACTTTTCCTAAGATATTCATAACATGAACAAATGTCCCAAACCTTATTAAGAAAATGCTTTATATCTGAAACTGACCATACGGCCTAATGCATGCTAAGGCTTCGTTGAATGAATATATCATGTCAAAAAGTGYCCTAAAAACGAACCATTTCTATCTGCTGTGCTCCGCGTTCAGTCGTTCGTTGCTATGTAAAGGAAGCCTAGCCGGCAGCACGCCTATGTGTAAGTGTATGTAAAAATGTGTCTGTAATATAGCACTTCGACTTGATAGCRCGTCGAGCTGCGTCTTTCGCAATTCAGCACCCRTGCTGCCATGAAGGACGATTAGCACCCMACACCTTTTTCCTTTTTCCTTTCCYTTTTCCTTTTTGCTTGGAGATCGATTTTATTAATRTCGTTGCCGACAAAGAATTTTGTAGTATTTCTTTTTTGTTCTGCTAGTAAAATGAATTTCTTTGTAATTTGTCTGATTACTTCGAGCGATATTCAAATACTATTATACTCCAAAGATTAAGTTTGGATAGCGTCGATGATATTTCAAGACAAAATATGGTAGATATAGAGGATATTACATGGGCGCGCGGAGATACGGATTTTATCTTCAAGTGTTGAAAAGATCTCTCACAAGTGAGCGTAGCGAACATGTTATTTTCACTAGTGAAGATATCAAGTTTACGAAATGGAGAAATATAGGTATTTCATAGATAATTATATGATAAATAGTAATATTATGTAGTAATATTACATTTTGTTTCGGGATTTCTGGACTTATTGGCACAAACAGGCAGTGTGTTCGTGTGTTGCTCGCCAGATGGAAAACGCGTGTCTAGGAAAACGCAGTTGTTTTGTTATATTTAGAAAAAAATAAATATGAAAAAGAGGTGTGTCAGACTTGTTGATATGGACCGCATGTCACTATGAAAAAAAAATGATATAGAAATAAAGGAACGTTACAGTGATTACAAGGATGTTTTTTTCAGAAAATGGACCCTTGGAAATAAATTCGGAAAAATAATTTCCGACCTCGTTGGGATTCAAATGTATTTCCAGAAGTTGTGAGTTACTTTTACTCAGCTATGGACTATATACTATCCTAGCGAMCAAGCCTGCTTATAAACCACGTAACTAGACACCACATATTTTGTTGATTGATATGCACCGTCTCAATGCACCCTT